CTGCAACCAGAGTCTTTCAGGTGAGATTTCTGGGGCCAGGCCATGTGTGGTATCTTCTGTGAGATGTGCACAACTGAGCCTTCTGCCACATTACCCAGCACCTCTGCTGGGAAGCAGCCAGCTGGCCCAGCTCCAGAACCTTGGGCCTGACTGTAGCCAGCACCATCTAACAGTAGTGTGTTTTTCCTGCTGCTTGACAGCTGTGGAAAGATTTTTCTATTATTATCCTACTTTTAGCAAAGTGCAGCATAATGAATTACCAATCTACAGTGTCGTAGCAGTTTGTGAACTCCCGTGCAGACCATGGTAGGGTCAGCAGCATCTGCAGCACAGGGTGGATCTGCGGGGTTGCACCCTCAGCCGCTCAATGTCTGGAAAGAGGGATCCAAAGAAAAGGGCAGCACCCCTGAAGTCAGAGTACAGTGAGGAGGGGGCTCAGATCTGGTGTGCTGGGAAAAACATCAGGTAAGCATTCAGTAAAAAGGAGGAAGGAGGGAGGAAGCAAGGAAGGAACAAGGGAGAAGAGAAAGCAAGGAAGGAAAAAATAAACCCAGGGATTTAGTGGTGCCACCACCTGCCTCCCAAGCACAAGATTCTGAGTTCAATCCCCAGTGCCAAAAAACAAAACAGAAAAGAATAAAGAATACTCAAAGTTCTGCTTCACAAGCACAAGGTCCTGAGTTTGATCCTCAGTACAAAAACAACACACACACACACACACACACACAAAAACAAAACATAAAACACACACACATCTGAAAGTTCAAGTGATATTTTGGAACATCATAGAATAAGGTGACTTTCTACACATGTACACATCCATTGATGGATGGAGGTTCTGAGATTTTTGTTCAAAACCCCAAATAAGAAGGTGATGAAAATCAAAAACTATGTATTCTCTCCCTGGAAAGTCAGTCAGAGTCTCTCTCCCGCTCTTTCTTTCTCTCTTTTCCTCTCTTTCTCTCTCTCTCCCTCTCTCTCTCTCTTCAGGAAGTTTCAGCTTATTTAGAAAACTGATATTCCTGTTACCCAAATCCTACTTTGATGAATATGAAATTTTTCCAACAGTCTTTATCTTACCAATTATCTCACTGAAACCTATGATAGCAATATCTGCAGCCCTGGTACCGTGGGGCCCAGTCCAGGACCTTCAGTTTCTTTGGGATTGGAATGATGAGGTCCCAAGGGAGAGGAGACACATCCTCTGTGGTTTTACACAGCCACCTGGTTCCCACAAAGGCCAAGGTGCTTTGGGAACCATCCAAGAGATCACAGGCTGGACTCTGAAAATACAAGACCCTTCCTTGCTCACAACAGTTACTATTCTTTAAAGACAGATGATCTAGAGGAATAAGAAAAGGTGAAAAGACCATTTTTGTCAGTGAGAAAGATCATCCCTGGACATAGACTGTTAACTGTTGTGGACACCATAAAGCTTGAAGGGTGGAGAACAGAACACACCGCTGCACGCATCCTTAGATTATGTTGTACCCCACTATTTCAAGATATCTAGAAGTGCCTCTCCCTTTTCTCTTACTTTCCTTCCAGGTTTAAATTCACTTGGCAATGCGATGTTTCCATTCAGTCAGCTAATTCATTGTACATCATCACTGAGAGGAATTGTGTGCACATGTGCTCACTAGGAAAACACTTCTGCTTGTGGATTAAAGGCACAGGTTGGGGCACTGGCAGACACGTGCCTGGTGGGCTCCTTCCTGGTTCACAGATGGCGCCTTCTGCGTGTGCCCTCACAGAGTGGAGAACAGAGAGAGGAGTCGGACTCACCTGTGTCTCTTTCTATAAAGGCACAAAGCCCGTTTATGAGGCCACAGTAAGACCTGATCACCTCCCAAAGGTGACTCTTCTTCCTTTCCCTCCTCCTCCCTTCTCTTTCTGCTCCTTCTCTTTTTCCTCCTTTTCTCTTCTCTCTTCCCCCATTTCCTTTGGTTCCTCCTCCTCCTCCTTCTCCTTTTCCTCCTCTGCCACATTCTTTTCTAGCTTCCTTTTTGCAGTATTTAGGATGAAACCCAGGGCACTTGGACTGAGCTCCATCACCAGCCCTTTTTAATTCTTTTTTAAAATTTTAAGGCAGGGTCTAAGTCACTAAATTGCCCAGTGTGAGCTCAAATTTTTTATCTTTCTTCCCCAAATTCCCAGAATTCTGGGATTACGAGCATGATCTGCCACACGCAGCTGCCAAAGACTACCTTCTGACACCGTGATTTTAATGAATGAACTTGAGGGGACCCAGAATCTGTGTTACTCCTGGTCACATCGTTGTCTTTTTGCCTTAGTGAAAGCCTACAGACAGTGCTACCCAGGGCATAAGCACAAATTCAGAATATTGAAAGTACAACCCCAGTGTAACTCTGCCAGCACTTCCTGGAGAAGCAAGGCTTGGATCGAGCATTTTATTTCCATCTTGTGTCCCCACAGAGAGGCAGGTCTTGGTGGGGAAAGTGGTATAGCTCGGAAGCCATTCTCTCAGGAATTAAATACAATTCCACTAACTCCTGCAATGGGTTGAGTGGTTATATACTCTTCTCCTTACTTTTCCTAAATGCAGATAGAGATCAATTAAATAAGTAGAGCAAAGCGTTCTTTTAAAAATGCAAGTCTCCAGCTCTTAGAAAATTCTAGAAAGATTTTAAGCCCCTGATGCTTCTCCTTCTGAGACTCAGAATATTCCCTTTATGCTCCAGGTTAGCCAGGAAGGACCTCAATCTAGAGCGAATAACAGGTCACCTTCTCAAGGGACCTGACTCCTTGACATTTTATTTTTTGAACAATCAAGTTGTTGCATGCGGTGCCCCTTCTGAGGACACTAAATCGAAGGTTTCTCATCTTAAGATGTCTCTAATCATTGACTGGCGCCTCTTTCCTCATTTCTTAAAATTCGAATGTGAATGATCCTGGGGTGTGCAGTTACTAATTAAAACAAAAGACAAATGAGAAGGAGAGAAAGTCTGAGGTTGCTCCTGTTAATTCACTGTCTTTTTTCTGGGTGGAGGATTTCTAGCTGCCCAGCATGGCCTCTGCCTTACTACATCCCTGGAGCTGGGTCGGTGGGGCTCACGTGCAGTTGAAGACCCAGATTCGAGATGCCCTTTGAGAGCCTCGCCTCACCGGCAGCCCCTATGTCTCCACCTCCCCAAGGTGGACGCAGAGAATAAGTCCAGAGGAGTCAGACTCTGCTAATGGTAGTGCTCTCAGGCCCAGAGCCTGGGATTCTGGCAAGCTCTTGTTCACTGTCCATGTCTGGAATGAAAGATATCAGCTCCTACCCTGCTATTTCCAAGTTAAACAGTGTTGGAAAAGCATCTCCTGAAGCCCTGGCTTGATGAGATTCAGGATTTGTCAGCGAGACCGTGATGCAAGCCTGAAATAAGAACACTCCATTCCAGCCTCCTGGGATTAGGGATTGAGGGCTCACATTTCCACCTGCATTTTCCCATTTGTGCAATTTGTTTTAATAAAGAAGGAATGAGTACATTCTCTGCCAAGCTTGTGCGGCTAATGATACAGAGAAAAAAGAGCTCATAGGTTAATTTTGAGAAGGAAATAAATGTGTGGCAACTTGCGTGTACTTAGTACTGGGCAGGGTATTAATTTGCACCTTTTTTTCCTCTCTTTTTTATCTTTTGCATTGCAAAACAATTTCTAGAGTTGAGCAACGTACCCCTATGCTAGCTAATAGCTAAGTGCAGAAGCCTAAATTTGTACATATGTTTGTCAGAACTCAAAACATTTTTGGTGTCTCTAATGTTAGGCTCTCAAATGACATTTCTGCCAGGGTGCAAATAGGACTTTACAGCAACTCTTTGCCTACCCCTCCCGATGCTAGCAACGTTGAATGTGTGGCATAAAATTTCCTATTTTGTCTGGCATCAGCATTAAGCTCCTCAGGTTGGTGAAGGAACTAATAGCTATAGCTATTAAATCATGATGATTATGAAAATGCTGCGCAGTCTATAAAAGTTTCCAGAAATTGGTCCTGCAGAAAAATCCCTATTTATTTCTGTTGCACCAGGAAAGGATAAACAGAATTGCTTTTTTCGAGATACTGAAGATGATATTCTCCTCTAAGGGTGAATACAGTCACAGCTGGGCCTTTACAATTGTGACTCATTTTAAGTGCCTCGTTGTTAAAACTGGATTGTTTTGGATTGCGACTTTATTCAATTGAGACAATTATGTGTTCTGTGTGATTCAAATCAACAATTTCAGGCAGCAGTTGATTATTGCAGCCTAATTTGTTGTGGCTTTTGCTTTTTTAGACAGCCATTGGATATCGCATTCTGAAATTAGATTTTAATTTCCTTATGTGGGAATTTCACGTGTGTATTGTACTAGATGTCACCAGGACACTCTCCCTGTGCAAGTTCATGAGCAAACTCCTATCGATCCACCACCATATGGGTTCCCAGATTTGAAGGCAGGAACCTGTCTTCCAAAAAGGGCACCTAGGTCTGGGACACCTAGGTACACTGGCAGGCCTCCCTCTGGGTCCCTGAGCCCCAGAAGGGGTGCGTGAAAGAGCTCCTCCCTGGCTGTGTTCTTTCTTCTCTGTGCCTACTAGGAAGGAATCGTTGGGAACAAGTAGAAGCCCCAAGAACTGCTGCCATCAAGATGAAGCAAGTACAAGATAGTTGGTCAATGATTATATTGTAAAAGGCAACAATAGTACAGGGCATGTTTCCATGAATCATCCTCAAAATCCTCCCCTCACTTTGAGCACACTCGTACCATTGTTCTGGCCGCTTTCTGCAGCAGCTCTGGAGTCCTCCTTCCTGAGGGTTTTTGTAGAGTGTGATCAAAATCTTGTGAGTGTGGCTGCCAGGGCTGGAATAAGAAGACTGACACTGTGTCCTCCTCCACCTTATTCACCAGATCTGGCACTGTGGGACTCCTGGCTCTTCCCCAACGTCACAATGACCACAAAAGGGAAACATTTTGAATCCATTCAGGACGTGGAGGCAGCCAGAAGAGTGCAACTAAAGACCCTCAGAAAGGAGGACTCCAGAGCTGCTACGGAAAGTGGCGAGGAGATGGGATGAGTGGTCCGGAAGTGGAGATGATCTTGAGGGTGATTCATGACAAGGTGTCCCTTACTACAATACATTCTTATAATTTAAACATGCACCATATTTGTTGATCGCTTCTCATTCCTACCTCAACAGGTGGAAATTTACAGAGCCCTGCTCTCTCAGGGCTGTTGGTAATCCAGGGTGCCAGTGATGATGAAACTTATTCAGGTAAACACACCTTGCCTCCCCTGGTTATGCGTCTGTGGCCTTAAATGAGCCTTGTGAAAGCTGCAGGGCCCACAGCAGCATTTGGTTCAGGGATGGTTTCTACTCTAGGCTTGCCTGCCACGCCCTAGGGGATGGCAGGGCAGGGCAATCATCACACCCTGTGGAGAGTGATGCTTTTCACCTTGGAACATACACAAAATCACTGTAGCATTGGGTTGTCTTTGCCTAATGCAAGGGCTCCTTCCAAGCTAGCAGGAAACAGTGTACACAAGACAGGCAGAGTTGGGTGGGGCCACGTGGGGGGTGAGCTGTTAGATGTCTTAAGAGCAGTGCAGAGACTACTAAAATATTCCAGCTTGTAGCAATGGCCAGCTTTGTTTTAGATAAATAAAACTACTGTCATGGAAATATTATATGGATAACAATCTACCTAACTGGGATTTAATTAATATATGCAGGACTCCCACATCCATACAAACATGATTCCTCTGGGTCTGTAGTCAGCTAGCATCTACCTTAAGTGATCGTCAAGGGCTAGCAGAATTGGAGGTGATCTGTGAGTAACAGCCCTTCCCAAATCAAAGGATGGATGATTTTGTGGTTGATTAGACATCCTATGAGAAATGGAGACTGATGTAAGAGCAACATTAAGAGAATACAGAGCCCCTCCCCACCCCCAAGTAGTTCCTGTTTTGTAAATTTGCCATTAAGACCCAGCAGGTCCCAGGAGCTGACTCACTGCCTCAGGGAATCCTGCAACCTATGCCAGAAATTGATATGATTGTGCCTTCCATCCAGAAATCAGAGGTCTCTGCTGCAAAGAGGTATTCGTTCATAAAAACTGATAACTGCATGGAAAGTAAGAATATTTGACTGGGGTCAGAGGAGAATCAGCTAACATATGCGGGGAATCTTTGAAATGATTTGAATGTGCGTCCTACCGGTGTCAATACCCAGACCAGGAAACGCATGGCCTTAGTAAATATGCAACCTGCAAAGCAGACAGGGAACCCCTCTGCGTAGGTTTTCCTTTGGAAAGACCTCTGGAACACAGAGGAATCTTTGTCACAGGAAGGGAAAGATGAGCTGTGATTTGGAGGAGAAGGTCCTGCGCGGGATCATGGTATAATTCTGTTCCACCTTTTGATGTATGGTGTTACATCTTGAAACCTGAGATCCTCCAGGGGATTTGTAGATGCTCTGTGCAAACCAGACTCTTTTACAGTTCACTGAGATTTTTAATTTGTTGATGACAAACCCAACCCAGACAATCAATAGAATCTGGAGTGAAGGGAGAGACTTTCCACTTGACTCTCACTGTGGTCTAATTAATTTTATTTCGCTCCTGTTGTACAGAACAAGATCCTAAGAAAAATGATTTTTTTTTATGATGCAGCAAATCAGACAAATTCTTTTGCAAGTTCACTTCCTCCTCCTGTGGTCCTGTCCATGTGCCAACACCCATGTTCAGGTCCTTGTTGATTCTCCAAGTGTCTGCTCTGATGTCCTGATCACACATTACATAACATTGTGAAGTTGCACAATGAGAATATCATGGTTGTGGCTTTAGTTTCATAAGAGCTGTTCATCACACCAATTTCCTAAATCCATCAAGGATGAGATCATTGTGCTTTCCCCCAGTAACTACAGGATTATCTTCAACTCTGTGGTCTGCTGTTTAAAACTGTACAAAATAATCCTGCACAGCTTTATATTCCACGTCTCCTCTGTGCTCATCTCCTACTATCCCAAACCTGTGGAGAACTAGCTCTCCTCCTCCTAACTCTCCAGATTAGCCCCGTGTTATCACAACTCCCAAATCATGAATGCAGGCTCTCTTTTGCATCAGACACAGTGCAGTTGTACTGTCTGATTTACAAGGGGCAATCTAAAACTTCAGTGAACGTTTAAATTTAAAAACCCTTATCACAATAAAAAACACATTGCCAATAATGATGGCATGTGTATCCAAAACTAGGTGGGGAGTATTTTGGGTATTTTGAGATGGATTAATGGCAATGTGTGTTTTGTTGAAATAAATTATTTTGATTTAAATAGTCGCGATGTTTTTATCACATCATATTGTTCAAATGTTTATCTTAATTTCTGTCATGAGGCTGTGTCCTCATCCACCTTACTCAATGGATCTGACACTGTACAATTTCTGACTCTTACTCAAAATCAGTATGATGTGAAACAGAAAAGTTTTGATTTGATTCAGGACATCGAGGCAGCCAGCACAGCACAACAAAAGATCCTCAGGAGAGAGGACTCCAGAGCTGCTGCTGAAAGTGGCAAAGACTCTGGAATGAGTGTGTTGGAAAACATATACTGTTTTGAAACTATCACCTACAATAATGAAAATATTTGTTGCCATTTATTTCTCAGAGATATAAACTTTCTGATTAGAAACTTAAAGCCTAAAATTTCCCCTAAAAAGACTAATTGCTTTCCTTATCTTGACATTTAACAGCTGTTGAGGGGCACCAACTTTCCGGGCTGATACAGGAAGAACAGAAGAGGGGGTTCAAGCAGGCCCAGCATCCTTTGCTGAACAGAACTGGAGTCCCCAATCACACCACCAAGGTTCTGACAAGGAAGGCTGAGGGGGATTCAGGACACAGCTGGAAAAGTCAGACCGGAGGCCGAAGGTCTTGGACAGCAAATCTTGGATGCTCTGGGGGAAATTAAAGAGTGGTCCTCAGAGTGACAGAGCTGCAACACAGAGAAGTGGACAGCATCTTTAAAGAGGATGCTAGGGACCGGTATTCTTGGTGGAAAAGGAACCACATCTGGAACCAAAGCAATGTCATATTAAGAGTCTGAGAAATCTTATAAAGAGAAAATTCTTATTAAGGTATACACACATATGCATAACACAGGGGCAAAATAAGGAGGGGATTCCAGAAGAAGTTTAGACCATGAAGGATCGGAAGAATAGGATTCTCAGAGATAGAAAATTTAGGAAGGAAAAGGGAGTTGGAGAAGAAGATAGCTCTTGATTATCATTCAGAGAGAAAAGTGACAAAGACATACACACCTCAAGAATGCTGATAATCACGTTCCGCAATTGCAATTCTTTTTTGTGGGGTGGGGGAAAGGTACCGGGGATTGAACTCAGGGCCTTATGTTTGTGAGACAGGCGCAGTGGCACTGACCTAAATCCTGAGTGCAATTCTTTATTTCAGTGGAGACTGTCATTTCTTTAAAAGGTTTTCATTTAAGGAAAGTTTATAAGACCACTGGTCTTGGTGGCCCACACCTGTGAATTGAGCTCTCTGAGAAGCTGAGGTGGAAGGACTGTGAGTTTGACTCAATCTGCGCAACGCATTGACTGAGAAAGAAGTCCCTGTCTCAAACTAAGACAAATGTTAAAAGGAAAAGAGGCATATAGCTCTGTGTGAAGGCTCTAGGTTCAATATCTAGTACTGCAATAAAAGGAAGGAAGAAAAGGAAAAGAGAGGACAAAATGCACATGGCAGATGGCCTTGGTTGGATCTCTCGTGTGTCACTATCTTGAAAGTCTTGATGTAGCTCCTCCCCCCGGGGGGGAGCTGTTGGCAGAAGCTCCAGGCTGCTACTCACAGTGGCTACTCTCCAGGTACCACTTCCTGTAATGACGGAATGTGGATGTACACAATACAGCCTCAAAAGTGGTAGCACGCCACTTTCCAACTTTCTATCCATGACCACAGAAAGCTGGAACTGTAAACTTGCTGGCTCCACAGTGAGTTACAATGGCAAAGAAGCAGCTTAATTTAGATTTGTTACTAGAAATCAATGACCGAACAATTCAAATTTCACCAGTGAGAAGCTGCCTTCTCCATCCTGGAAGCTGTGTACTTTACGATGACACTAAAGGGACAATTTTCCTAGACAAACTGGGTGTACTTTGGGTAATCTCTATGTGGCAAGCACCTGTACCCTCATTTGCATCCACACAATTCCTTTTTAATCTGGTGATTATGTAAATAGCAAGGCAGATTTTTGACATCTCACTCGTTCATCTTGCCCTGGAAACTTGACTAGACATTGCATTGCAGGCAGTTTGCTATTTTAACACACACAAAAGATAGATTCGTTTAAGCAAAAAAGGCAGTGAATAGCTGTATCTCTCCTTTCTGAATGTCGAGGTATTTTTGTCCTATTGTATAAGTGCTAAAGATTTATGGAGCTGGAGGGGCCCATTTAACTCTCTGCTCAAGTCCTGGCTCCTGCTGTTTCTATGTCTTCTCCACCTCTCCGCTCCTATGAAGTCACCTTTTTGACTATGTCTGCGGTTGTTTGAGACCCACTGAAAATGTCTTTAAAAGCAAGACCAAGTGAAGAGAATCTTGTGCATTGTCTATAAGCTACATAACAGTTTTTCATAGGCACGTGTTATAATAATGCTGTTTTATTCTTGTAATCACACAGCTAACAATGCAATATGTATCATTAAAAAACCCCAAAGCACAAAAGTTAAATTTTACAAACACATCTTTTCTATGACTATTCCCTATGAACTAGATTGCTCCTTGTATTGTATTTCACGAACTGCAAACTTATTTCATGAACTGAAAATGGTTAAACTTACTTCTCTGACCTTTTCTGAAAGCCAGAGGTAACACCAGCAGACTTTGGAGACACCGGAGCTGAAATGAGATGGCAAAGGGGACACGATGGATAGTGTGTCTGCTAGTGTCACAGAGCCTGGGTGTCCCTTCCCCTTCATTTGTTTTCCTTTTTTTTTTTTTTTTTTTTTTTTTTTTTTTTTTTTTTACCTGGCATTAAGCAGAGAGCTGGTGATCTCCAGGTGGGAGGCAGGTTGTCCTGTTGCAGCCCCTGTGCCTTAACCACAGGTAGCAGGTGTCTGGCCCAGGACACCCCCCTGGTCACAGCCACTCTGTGCTATGGACCCTTTAGAGTAACACTGGACTATGTAAGAATGAAGAATTAATGGTCGTGCACGATTTATACGGAGTCAGCATTTCTCCATCCACCAAGCCTGAATTTACAAACAGGCTAAAAATGCATGTCTTTCATCAGTTTTAATTTTCTAATGCAGTGACCCATCCCAGCACTGTGTAATAACAGGTCCCATTGTGACAATTAAAATAAATCACCCTACAGAATATGCCATTAGAAGCATTCATGCCTCATCAGTAACTGAATCGTCTTATATAATATATCCTGAGGAAATATTTATAACTTTAGCTTCAGCTCCCCAAAGCATAAGCTGTTTAATATTCTGCCCTTGTAAATTTCTGAGAAATTGAAACATAGCTCCAGTATTATTTGCTGGGTGACAGTCTAATTTTGTTTTAATGGGGGGCACAAATGGATAATCATGAGCCAATAGCTTATTGATCTAAAATGGATTGCTTTCCCACGGAGCCCCAGAGAGAACCAAACTGATGTACAGCTTCCCTTTTCAAGAAACAGAACCTCCCCTTCTTTCTTGATAAAGGGGATCAAATTCTTTGGGAGAAACTTTGAGATGTAAAATTGTATTCCTCTTTCACTTAAGAAGCAGTCATTCTAAGCAACAAAGGAATAATTAGAAGTCAAGGGAAGGGTAGAAAAGCCACACAGCACCTCTTACCCAAGACTCCTCCTTACTCTCAAAGGAAGTTCAAGGGAGTGACAAGGCAGGTATCCACGTCACAAGGGACAATCCCAGATTCCATTTCTGCCATCACAAGAGCAAACTGAGCTGCCATCACACCCACTGGTAAGCTGTGCAGCTCCTGTAAACTAAGACAACTGGGGATAAGTCCCAGAGAGAGAACGTCTCTTTAAGACTGCTTTCCATTTTTGCAAGCTCAAGAAAGGGCTTTGAGGTGGCCCATGTTATGGCAAGCCATGGCCCTGGTACTGTAGCCAGGAGGACACAGGAAATCTAGACCTACTTCTCGGTGATAGAGGTACAGTGTGTCACATGGTTTGGGCTGTGGAGACAAACTGCCTCAGGCTGGAGGAGCAAGGACTGATGGTTACTCCTGATGGGCACAAAGCCTGGGGTGTCTGACCAGGGCTTCCTCCTCCCCTTCAGATGGCCACTTTCTGCTGTGTGAGAGAAGCAGGTTGGGTGTTGGAGGATGTGTCCGCCTCTTTTTACAGGGACAGAGTGGAGATGTCTACTCGGGAAGCTCCACTGTTAGGACCTCAGCTACACCTCTCATTTGGCCAACACACCAACCCCAAATGCCTTCACACAGGACGCCCTGACTAACAGGGATCACGAGCATGCTGTTGCTGGCACACAAGAAGTGAGATATGACAGCAGGAAGTGCCTGCCTAGAATTCTCCTCAGCTGGAAATATTTAAACAGCTACTTGGGGCTCCACTTTTCCTGGCACCTGGGGGTTGAGTGGCATTTGTTACCAGATGGAGGTCATGGGGGACTTCTTTTTAGGCTTTTGGTGTCCCAAACAAAGAAAAAGGAGTGAAGGTATATAGATTTATAGAAGACAGAGAAAGAAAGCAAGCATACTCTTCCATGTGAGAAAGGGCTGGTGGAGAACAGGGGCACAGTGGCTCTCAGGGTGAAGAGAAAAAGACCTTTAGTTTCCAAATACCTGAATGGGATCCCACCTCCTGTAATTATGGCATTGGGATGATTGTCCTTATCAAAAACTTATTTGGCTTCATGGTAGATGTAAGTTGTCCTATGGAAAAACTCTTTTGGCCTCTTGCCAGATGTAAATGAAGGATCATAAAGGGTGTCTTTTGATTCGTTGTGCCCATATGTAAATGAGGGGTTGGGACTATCATCTTTTGATTCATCTTGTGAATAGCACTGATTCCAGGGAAGCATTAGCACCAGTGTGTTTTCTCGCTGGGTCCCCAGGAAGTGTGCCCGATTCTGACGAAATCAGTTCACTGACAAAATCAGTTCAGTGAAGAACATCCCAACTGGACCTGAGGAGATGAAGGGAGGAAAGACAAGAAAATGAGCCCTGAGGCTGGGACTTTGGACAATGGCAGCACTTGGTCTCACTTTCCTCACACTCTGTTTGCTCTCAGTGGGAGGCAAAGTCACCAAGGCGATGCACGGTGGGCATGCGCTGTGATGGCCCTGAAGCTCCAATGCTCACAATTGTGGATCTCAAATCAGAAGAGGCCACTGTGGAAGTATATTTTCTCTACCCAAGTTACCTAGACAAGTACAGGCGTTTCGGCAAAAGAGCTTTGGCTTTCACCAGAATTGTAGGTTTGCTGTCCAGTATGGTGAGGAGAAAGGGGGATCTTGCAAGAGATCGGTGTTGCTGGACCCCAGAATGTGGGCTGGGTGAGGGGGAAGAGCAGATATCAAGGTGGAATGATACGAGTGTTTGTGGAGTCTGTGTCACTGAGATAGATACTTGTGGTAGAGCAAAGGACAGGATCCTCGGAAAAGAGGACTTCGGGAACTCTTGGAAGCAAGATATTGAAAGGATCACACACAAGTACATTAAAATCAGGAGTAATGATCAACAGAACATGGAAACAGTGGACAAAGAGTGAAAATAGTGCTAACATCGAAGGCAAAGGCCTGGTCATTGGGAAAAATGGCAGGAGGATAACATGAGAGTCAGAGCTGGCAGAGCTGAGAATTTGCAAAGCAGCAGAAGAAGAAATGTTCAGAAAATGGCAATGCAGCAAAAGAAGTAGGCATCCTGCTTTCCCTCTAGGCTCAGGGAGAACCCTGCCACCACCTGTGAGATCTGTAGGGATCTGTAAGTTTGAGTGAGAGGACCTGGCACAGGGTATCTCTCAAAGCAAGATGGTGCTGGGGCCTCCGTTAGCTTCCAACAGCTG